TTCCATCCTGTGACGATACCTATAACCTCATCAGACAACAACATCTGCCTATCCCAGGTCCTTGGGAAGGACTTGATAGGTGGACAAAAATGCTAAATCCAGTCTAAACATCTGGCTGACTGTGCGACCAACCATAATAATTGATTAAATTTATATGCTGCCCAGCGACTTTGGCTGGTCGCGTGAAGTCCTAGACTATAGGTTGGAAATCTGCATTCCTCAAAGTTTTTAACCTTTCTCAGAGCCTCCTTTAATTAAAAATGAGGAAAGCCAAATGAAGAAAGGAAGAGAAAAAAAGCTTCAAAGCATTTGAAAACAGGAAACTGCTCCTTCTCAAAATCTCAGTGCCACCTACTTCATATCATAGCCCTTTCCGTACTATGGTGGACCGCTGGTCCTCCAAAGTTGCTCTCAGTTTAAGGCCAAGTTGTGGCCTCCATCTTGAATGATTTGACCATAATTTGTGGACACCCCTGATATTCATGGCCAGAAATGGAGGGTGCGCGCGTTCCTATTGAGCTTGAGGTGATGCAAATATATAGATGAAGCAGAGAATTGATGGCTGATACATATAGCAATAGTGTCTGGGGCAACTTATTGTACGGTGATCTACAGGGCAGGTAGCAACAGCATTTTTTGGAACTTTATGTCTCTCCACATAACGTTTTATTGGAAAACTAACATTTGCTGTTATATTGCAAACATTCCCCATAAGAAGGTTCTGAAGTCAAAATGCAGTTGGCCCCTTTTTGTTATGGTATATAAGATCTAATCAGTTTTTATGTTGTTTGTGAACATTAAATCTTTCTTCATCTGTACAAAAAAAAAAATCCTTCATGTTATTGTAGTTTCTTGTGTGTGTGTGTGTGTTAAGGTGAAGCATTGAGTCTTGCTCTTTATTGAAGATTTGTTTTCTGGCCTTTCCATTAAATCTTTCTTCATCTGTACAAAAAAAAAAATCCTTCATGTTATTGTAGTTTCTTGTGTGTGTGTGTGTGTTAAGGTGAAGCATTGAGTCTTGCTCTTTATTGAAGATTTGTTTTCTGGCCTTTCCATTAAATGCCAGCTTTCATTTAAAAATAAAACTGGGCCTAGACCATTTTTTAAATGTGAAGAAATGATGGCTGCAGGATTATGATAGCTATGTCTGCTTTTCAGCATGTTGGCTAATCAAAATGACTTAGTGGATAGATTTCCCTTCATTATTTGTTAAATTTTTAATTTTCTAAAATAATGCTTTAAATAATCGATGGGCTTTGATTCCTAACATTTATTTGAATTTAAGATTCGGCTGGTTACTTTTGACTTTTCATTCCATTCAGCATATCCTAAGGCTTCAGTTCCCCTATGTTCAGGTGATCATCCTGGAGATTTTAAAATTACTGCCACAGAAATTCGATGATATTGCAAGATGTCAATGATGCTGCAGCTTTGGGTCTTTAATCCAGAGAAAAGCAATGTATGGCCCAAACGATGGGCCTCTGTGCCTAATTTCAAAAAGGGTCTGTGAGCCTTCAGTTCAGATTTTCAGTAAGGAGTCTCAGTTCTCACCCACCCACCTGCCCTTTGATGCTTGATAAGAAAAATAGAAAAAGAAAAGAAAGGGATGTATGTCAGAATGAGAACAAGCATGTGAATCAAAATGAAAGATCACAGGAGATTTCTTTATAAGTTCTCCTACTCATTGCTTGTTTTAACCCCACCTACTACTGGCACCCCCTAGGAATTTCGCTCTTGTTGGAAAAATCCTTGTTGCTTTAGTGAGAGAGCAAGAAGAGAAGCGTGTATGTTGCTCTCAGTACTGGACAGGCCAATGGTGTGTGTGTGTGTGTGTGTGTGTGTGAGAGAGAGAGAGAGAGAGAGAGAGAGAGAGAAAGAGGGAGAGATGGTTGTTGGCCTGGACCTCAATCTCAAAGGAGCTTCAGACTTAGACCCATCAAGGCTTTTTAAACATTTCTGTACGTTCTGGGGTGTGTGTGTGTGCACGCATGCCTTCCATTCTTTTCACATGGCATCATTCTTTATTTTTATCCTGGCCAGGGAGCCTCAAATGCCTGAGGTAGGCATAAAACCCAAGCAGAATTTGGGACTTTCCAACTAGCAAGGTGCCTCTCTGGAGAGAGGCCAATCTCACTCTTTGAGAGCCATGGCATTCAAGTGATGTATAGAGAGGCCTTTGGGAAGGTGAATGTAATTTACTGCACGGGTGCCAAAGGTGCTCTGTGTAACTGAAAAATCAAGGCATTGATCAGCAGTTCATTAGGCCTGTTAATGATAGATTCATAGATAGAGGCACAGATCTGAGGAGGCCAGCTTGACCTCACCTGCACAAGAGAGACCAGAGTATCTCCCACGGTACCTTCTGCTTGTCCTCTCCTGAGCTGTAGCGAGAGCTCAGCTTTTAGCTGTGATTAATTAGGTGGGGTGGAGGTGACCGAATTGGCTATCCCAGCTCCTTAGAGATGCCTTCCTTTAAACACTGTGTCAGGCTGTTATTAAAGCCCGCTGCAGAATTAAGATCTGAAAGTGGAAATACTGTAACGACAAGGAGTGGAACATCTCAACTTCAGGGGAAAATCTCAAAGGACCCAGACAGCATTTTCAAAGCACTAGGAGAGGTGGTCTTAGAAGAATTCCTGCCTGCGGGCCTGCATGGTCCTGAGCAAGATTTATTGTTTCAGCCTGATCCTATACAATCTACTCAGAAATCAGCTTCGCTTGCTCCCAAGGAAGAAGACATTGCATTGTAAAGTGGGAAATCTTCTCAGATGACATCTAGTTTTAAAGGTTGGAATGTACATTGTCCCTACCCCCACCCCCATGGCAAAACCTGGTGACTTTCATTTTCCATTTAAAACCAGAACAACTTTTTGCCTTCTTACCAAAAATACATAGCCACTAGTGCTGAAGGCTTACAGGCACTCCTACTCAATAGAAAGCTTTGGATGAAGCAAGGTTCTACCAGCAGAGAACAGAGCACTGGAGGACGAGGCAGATCTTTTCTAAAAGGGTAGAAAATTCCACAACTCAAAAAAGAGAATTCTGTTTCACTTTGTGAGCCCTTAAGACTGAACCTCTGAACTATGTGGAACTAGAGCTTGTAGATCAATTAATTCTCCTGTTGAAACCAAGGCCTGTTAGAACAAAGATTGTGCATGTGTAGTCTCTCTCTCACACACACACACTGTTGTGACTTGGCCAGTATAGGGCTTTGCGCTGCTTCACTCAGCATCTCTCAGCTCTGATTGCTTTGCCTGAAGCTGGCTGTCTGATCCTATCCATATTTTTTCAGAAATAAATCCCACAGAGTTCTATGGGATTTAAGTTCCAAATAATTGTTTGTAAAACTGTAGCCAACAAAGTGAGTGGATGAAGTCTGTAGGCTAGCTCTGCATAAGACTTCATTCACAATTCCACTTATTCTTTCTTCCCAAATTCCTTCCGTCCTTTATATGCTTCTTACTCTGAAACGTTTTCAAATCCTAATTTTCCTCTTCTGTATCTACATTTTTTAAAAACTTACATTCTACAAGAGTATTGTGCAGATTAAATCAAGCAGGTGATCTTAAAATATAAAAATGTCTATCTTGAATAATAGTTTAATTTTGTTAAGATAAAAGAAGTAAGACTAGCTAGATTGCTAGTTGAGACTAGCAATCGGTTAATTATTTTTTTCACCGGCAGGTTTTGCTTTCCCTGACTGGGCCTACAAGCCCGAGTCTAGTCCTGGCTCCCGTCAGATCCAACTCTGGCATTTTATCCTGGAGCTGCTGCAGAAGGAAGAATACCAGAATGTCATCGCCTGGCAAGGGGACTATGGCGAGTTTGTCATTAAGGACCCTGATGAAGTGGCCCGACTATGGGGTATTCGTAAATGCAAGCCCCATATGAACTATGACAAGCTGAGCCGGGCTCTAAGGTGAGACATGGAGAAGACACCGATCTTGGCTCATTTCAGCACGTGGGGCTGAGGGACAGTACCTTGGGTGAGGAGGGGTACTAAAGCTTGATGTCAGGTCTTCAGGGTGCCCCTGTAGCCTGCATTACAACATTGGAGCCAGTTCTCATTGATGTTTGGAATCAGGGTTCTAGAAGGTTTGGAACCCACCTAGTCTTTTGATCAGATTTCAGTGGATGTACATGGTATAAGACTGAAAGACCAGGCTAGGGATAGATCGTCATGGAGAAAATCCATGTGGTGGCTATGAGCTGAGATCAACTTGATGGCCCATAATCACGTGGTATTAAAACCAGCTGTAATCCTAGCTGTTCTGAAAAGTCTGAAGGCAAGTCTGAAGGCAAATGCAAGATCACATAAATGGTTAGTTGTCTGCTGGGATCTCTTACACTCGTTTCCTTCCATGATTATACTGGGTGTTATGGACTTGTTTGGGATCAGACTTTTTGATCGCGCAGGGCTGCCGTTCACACAGTATTAACCAGATGACTGGGGGAAGAATAACAGAATTATTTAATTTATCTCAACGTGTACACCATTCCCAAAGGAAACACTTGTGGCAGATGTGTGGTGTTTCAGGATATGTATGAGCAAACTCAGACTTATTTAAACTGGATTCAACGTTTTTAATGTAGTGCTTTCAGGCATGAAAAATATAATTATTACATGGTATGAGATTCTCTTTTTGGGATAAAATGCCAGCTAACAAGGGCAACTGGAAAGTGATTGATTTAAGTCTTCCTGGTCTCAAATTTCCATCTATAAAACAAGGTTAGTAAGAAAGGTTGGAATAATAATAACATTAATAATAATAATAATAATGTATTAAACTTGTATGGTACCTGATTCTCAATGACTCACAACAATCAAAGAAATTAGAAAAATGTAGCTGCATTGCTTTGAGCACCTGAACATGTACTATATTCATGCCAAGTTTCAGTACTTGAATGTTTAACCAATTATTTAAAAAAAAAAATAAAGAAAAGCTTTGAAAAGTACCTTGACTAATGGGACAGTAATTAATTTTCCAGCATAAGGGCTCAAAGTAAGTATAGATGGTGACTACCATCTTCAAAGGAGGAATTCTCCCTGTCCTGAAGGATGATCTCTTGCATTTTTAAGGTGTTTGCAAAACACTCATTCATCATCTCACTCAAAAGAAGCCATGGCGTTTTTTTTTCTTCTGAGAACGGTTGGCGTATTTATCATTACTTTTGATTAATTAAGTGGTCTACTAAAACTCTTATGATTAATCAGTAAAATTTCCGTGATCTAGCAACAACCGTACTAAATATTACTGTTACCTGTAATACCAGTTTGTCATCCTGTCATGCCACGAACGGCTCATGCCTTTCCAGGTGTCAAAAGAAGCTGCGCTTTCTTCTCCCTCTTCAGAGTGCATGATAAAACTCACGAGAGCTTCACCGTTACCTTCTCCGTAATTGATCGACAGCAATATTTGTTATTGCTTATTAATTAACTGCATCTCTCTGGTCACTTGAGATTCCACTTCCCTAATTAATATTTATGAGGAGCTAAGCGCTATTGACACTTCCTATTAACTCAGCCTGGGAATTCAGCATCGCTTTGCCCAGTAAATAAATTCTGAAGACGCCCTTGTAACCCCACAGGAGAAATTCAGAGATGTCTTGCTAGCACGGAATAAAGGGGACTTGGTGGCAATATGCTATGACCTGCTAGGTGGCGCTTTATTTGAAATCGTGCTGATTTCTCCAAATACACCATTAGGGGGCATTGCGCTGCAAGGAAGAAAGTGTGTGATTTAATCTAATTTCCAAACGAATGCCAAACCGTTCTACTTAGTTGCCATTTTTCCCCACTGGGCTAAATCTTTGCAGGAAAAAAAAAGTATCTAAGGTTCTATCGTTTATTTAGCTATAATCTCTGCGAAATTATTTAGCTATCATCTCTACAGAATTTAGATAGGTGAGTTTTTAAAAGGCAGCTTGTCCACGGCTGTTACACATATACAAATACAGATAGGATCATTTTAAATCCACGCAGCGCTTTGGTAATTGACATTATAAAATGTTTTTATCTTTTGGATTATGCCTTAGCCCGAGTCAGGCTTGAATGATATTTATCAGAGGATGGAGGAGAGGGAAGTGAATATTAATCTCCCAGCGCTTCACAAAATGGGATACTGAAGCAGTTTTAGAAGTGATTGTCAGACCCCAGACCTCACTCCCTCAGTTGCCTCACGTAGTTTGAAGACAACACAGAATGCGGTTTCCCAAAACGATTAAGATTTCTTCTTTTTCAAGCTGTTTTTTTTTGGTAAAAATAGAGATGGTGATGGCCAAGAAGAAGTTAAATGTTTTGGGTGTGGCTGTGTTCTGAGGACTTGTGTTCTCCTCTTGCACTCCTAATTAAATGCAGGATGCAAAATAAATGGAAGCCCACTGACTTATTCGGGCATTTTGTTTTAACCACAGAATTGATCTGTTCTGAGGGAGCGGCTTCCGTCCGATGCCTCCTTGATGTACAGCATTTTCTGCGATTACTTTTGCAGCTAGGAATTTATATTCAGTCCACCAGCCGCTAGCTCAGCTTCTCCGTTCACTTCTTTCTGCAGATATTATTACAACAAGCGGATCCTTCATAAGACCAAAGGGAAACGGTTCACCTACAAGTTCAACTTCAGCAAAGTGGTCTTGGTTAATTACCCACTCCTGGACATGGCTGCCAACTCCCCATTTCTCCTGACTCAGAACCCTTTCAACGGGAGCAACCATGGGGCTGACTGCACCCCACTGACCCCTGAGGTATGACAAGCAAAGGCGAGAACAGATCCTTAGATCCATAGCTGCTTCTCCAAGAAGCTGGTGTTCAGGTCAGACCCCAGCCCAGCACATCCTGATGCCAGAATTCGGTGCTGGAATGCAAGGTCTGATTTCACAAGGTGAGAGGGGGAGGCTTTTTAAAAGCTCTTATTTCAAGTGGAATAGACCCGCCTAGCCCTAGGGAGGAGGTGACCCACAGGAGTGCAAGGATTCCCAATTGTCTCCAGTCCTGTCCTCCCCACTTTGCGGAGATCACTCACCTGCTGGATTTGCTTCCTGCAGACCTTACAAAGCCTCTTCTCGAGCCCTCGCTTGGGGGATCCCTCCAGCCGCGCCCCACTCTTTGAACGTCAGCCAGAACCAGAGAAACTGAGGCTGGATACAGCCTTCCCATTCTTGGGATCAGGTGAGTGTGGGTCTGGGTGGGTTTGGGGTGGGGAGCGAGAGATCCTCTTTTTAGCCAAGGTGTATATGAAAAGGATTTCTCCCCGCCCCATTGCTTCCCAGATTGCTGTAATGTATTTCCAAAGGATATTGATATTATAGTGGAAATTGCGCTGTCTCAAACACTTTCTCCAATCCCTGGTCCCAGCATGGAGTGTCTGCTCATCTCTATTTCCTTCTCCCCACAGGTATGGCTGGGTACACAAAGCCTCCCAGCTTGCTGACTCCGTATGGCAGAAATACCTCCTTCCCCGAATACCCCTGGAATTTCAACCCTTACCTATCCAGCACTTTCCCCGTGAACAGCTCCAAGCTCCCCACCTCCCTGTATTCCCCTCATTTCTACCCCAACCCCTTGTCTGGGTCCCTGGCCCAGCTCCCCACGCCCATCTCACTTCTGCCAACCGAAAGCCCCGAGAGAACTACAACCCTGGGGAGTAGCTCTGTGCCCCGTCTCTGCCTCCCTCCCCATAGCACAACTCTGCCCCTCCGTGGGGAGGTCCTTGGAACAAGCACTCGCAATAAGGAATTACTGGGCGCCAGGCCCCCGAGTCCTTCCGGGGGCCGAGGGGCCAAAGAGGACCCAGCATCTGATTCCGAGTTGGAAATCACGGATTTGAGTGAATGCAGTTCGGAAAACGAAGGCTGCGATTTCAGCCCCGACAGCCTGGAAACCTTAGAGAGACAGGTGCAAAATTACAAGCGGCTGGAGGGTGAGCGGACGGCCAGAGCGAGGCCCAGCCAGCCAGATGGGGAGGTGGGAGTTAGCCTGGACCTTATCAAGCAGGGGAAGACTCTTGCGAGCAGTTGAACCCAAGCACGGCTGAGCTCAGCTGCCCGTCCTCCTCTCTCGGTCACCTGATTCGAAACAAGGTTAAAGGAAACGAAAACCGCCCTTCTCTGTTCATGTGATGTCTATTTTTATAGGAAAGTTCTATTCAATGAATATACTGAGTCTAATCGCCCCCCCCATCCCCTCTCCCTTGCATACCCTCACCCCTTCTCCAGTCCTTCGGATGAGACTGGAATACCCTCCAGCTGAAAAGGATCAGTGGAGGTTCTTGTGCCGAAAAGACATAAAAGACTGTCCACTGGAGACCGGGG